CAACCCACTACATATTATGCTTCGTTCGTTCTCGACTCTCTCAATCCTCCCCACTTTTGTTTTTCGACGAAACCTGCGTATCTGGTTTTCACTTTCAAGTAATCTTAGGAAAATGCCGTGGAAGACAAACCGGCAGCCTTTGCCCTGATGATCCAGTCTGGAAGCGATATAGAAGCTGCCCCGTCTTGTGTACACCGACCGCTCTAGACTAAGTATAGCAAATTTAGCAGTATCACTCAACGCTGGCACTACTTCGAACTGGTCCTCGACATTACTGCTTGGCGAAACCGATGACAAAAATTGGCATAGTCCCATGACCGTATCAAAACCACTTGAAATGTGCAATTTCGAACATGGGTTTACAGATCCCTGAAAATACTCAATGCGATGCACATTGACCAGCAGATACTTTACCGGATGTAGTGTTCCCGGTTCGAAGACGACCGTTCGGTCGATGTCCTCTCTGGAAATATTTTGGAACAACAAAGCAGCCCGATCGCCCATCTCCGCACTACGCACATCTTCCTTCCATCGTTGCATACTTTTAATTTTGCGTCTCTCATGCAAGGCGGCGATCTCGACGTCCATTCCAACACTGAAATTTAGTGCAACTAAAAATGATTTGAACCAACACAGTCTTCTCCTCCATTGGCCATACACACACACACACACACACACACACACACACACACACACACACACACACTCTTCTTTTACCTATAAACTAGCGGTAATTCCAAGCATCGTCACAAAATCAGTGCGAGCAAGTTTTACTGTAAAAATGCAGAATCAACCAAAAACACTAGAACACATCAGGTCAAAACCTAGCCCATGTAGCACTCAAATTTAATTTTTGAAAAAAAAAGCAAAAATCCAATGGTAGATCCAGAAGATAAAGTAGCTGTCCTTGTTTTTCGTAATAAAATGTTTTTGGAGTGCTGAGATGACGTGACAGAAAACGCAATGAAGTAAGCCGAGATTGAGAAGTCAGAAGCGAAAAAGTAGGTGAGAAATGCTGAATTAAGAAAACGGTGAAAAATACTGAGGCAAATTAAGTTCAGTGTTGCCAGTTTTAGACCCCACGCTACCCAGACCATGGGAATCAAACAATTTAAACTAAAAAAATTTGTCCAACGCTTACTAATTACCTGCATGCCCCATCGACCACAGTGCCAGTCATTACGGTGCCTTTACCTTTCACCGGGAAACAGTGGTCAACAAACATGACGAAACGTCCTGAAGAACATCGCTGAGGCGCATAAAGCGCAAGTCGCAGAGCTCTCAGTACAGCTTCAACCGCTTGTTCCTTGCCTTCTTTTAATGAAATGGAAACAACAGGCACTGGATCGCTTATTTTCAAGCTGGACATTGCCTTTTTGCAACGCCTCGTCAACTGCTCCAGCGCTTCTCCATCTATTAAATCAATCTAAAACAAAAAAAAGATCGGATTCGAGTATCTTTGCCGTTCCAGTACGTTTTAAATCCAATTTCCAAAAATTTAAAATTATATTTTTCAACGCTTATATGTCTACCTATAGCTCATATTAGGTTATGCAAATGCGGGGAGTTCAGAATCACAGAGAATGCGCAGGAAGAAGGAAGGAGCAAAACA